AGAGGTATGCGGCAGCAGGTGGGGCCGGAGATCCCTGTCTCCGTGCCACTTTGGGCCTGCAGGTTCTGCAAGGATGTGGCAGCAGCTCTGCCCTCGGGGCTGAGGCTGCTGTGCAGGGCATGTCAGCCCGTGGCACCTGTGCCCCCTTCCCTGCTGGTTTGGCAAAGGATTCAAGAGCTGCTGGGGAAGCAGCAGGGACTGGGGGCAGGGGGGAGGCTGCATGGATAGTGGTGCTGAGCTCTTCTTGACAGGCTGGCACCACTGCGACAGCTGCTAGGGTCCGTGGCCAACAGCCCGCGGGTCGTCCAGTGCGCGGAGACCGTCCCTGTCCTGCTGCAGCTCTTCTTCAACACGGCAGCTGAGGTAGGGCTCTCTCTCAGGCAGCTCCTGGCACTGCGTCCCAGCCTTCCCTTGCCTATGGGCACACTCAGTGGCAGTTAAAGGGTTAACTCCCAGGTAGCTCCAGGCTCCTGCATAGCAGGGGCTCAGGATTTCTACAAAGCATGAGGGTGGCGGCGGGCTGACGAGTTGCCCTGCTCTGGGCCAGGAGATGCAGGGACAAGCCTGGTGGCAGCAACACAACATGGCACATGGCGCCAGGACCAGCTGGTGGCACCTGGGCAGGACAACTGCAAAGTGCCCGTGCTGCCTCCTCTCCCCCTTGCCAGCGAGTGGCAATGTCTGGGCTGAAAGGAATGTATCTCTGTCTTCAGTTCGCAGACAAGCTTCTGATAAACCAGCTAGTGCTGGTGCTGCTGGAGAGGAGTGACCAGCTCTATGAGCTCCCTGCCTTCAAGGCTGACGTGCACAGGTGGGTGCCAGCTCTGCCCTGTGAGGGGGTAGCAGGGATAGAGAGCAGTAAGCCTCCAGCTTCTGTGCCGGGATGGAGCTGCTGGGAGTGGCACTTGGGGCTGGAGCGTCACATGAGGTCTGCCTGGAGCTGCCCTGGTGCTGCCAAGGAGCCTCTGAGCTCTGGTAACGTGGAGAGTCTGTGCCGCTCTATTGGGGCAGGGTGGTAGGGCCATGGTGAGGGCCGATCCCTTGTGCTGAAGGAGCTGGGCCCTGCCCAGTGCTCAGAGCCCTGCCCCTGTGCCCCCCAGCAGCAGGAGTGCTGTGGCTGTCCTGGTAATGGGGAGGCCGACTCCTGCAGGAGGGGGCTTGGGCTGAGGAGTCCTGAGCACCTCTTCCCTGCCCTGCAGAGTGCTGAGCTCCCAGCTGCTGCTGCTGTGCAGGCTGCATCCCTCGCTCGTGGTGGAGCTGTCCAAGGAGCTGCTGGAGTTCTCGGGGACCGTTGGCAACATCCAGAACAAGGAGGACGTCTACACCTATGTGGTGAGGAGCAGCCTGCTGGCCCTGGCCCCAGCCCCCGCTGGTTGCAGGGTGGCTCTCCTCGAGCCCTGTTCTTGTGCTCAGCCACGGATGCAAACCTGTCTACCGTCGGTCCCCTGGAACGATGCTGCCTGGCCCCTTCTCCCTGGGGGCCCTTCCTCCTGGCCTGCCCTGAGCAGAGCTTGTCTTGTTGCAGGTGTGGGCTATCGGCGAGTACATGTCGGTGTCATACGACAAGCGGTGCACAGTAGAGCAGATCAACAGGTTTTTCGAGGCTCTGGAGGCCATGCTCTTTGAGATCACTCAGCTCCGACCCACAGCCAGCGGCCCCCCATCCTCACCCCGCGTCATCACTGTCCTCATGACCGCCCTGACCAAGCTGGCTTCGCGCAGCCAGGACCTGATCCCCAGGTGGGCCAGCCACAGCCAGCTCTGAATTGCAGGGTGGGACTGGGGGGAGGCATTTGAGGCCCAGGGGGTAGCAGATATCTCCTGTGTCTGCTCACTCTGGTGTGGTGACTAGAGGAGGGTTCTGTAGGCTCTGTGGTCCCAGCACAAGGCGCTGCAGTGCAGCAAGGAGCCTGTTGAAGGAGCTTGCATTTACCCCAGGCCGAGCTCTGCCTACAAAGATGGGGGTTGTTTTAGGGAGCATGGTCCTGGCTGTAGGAGGCTCTGGCTTGCAGCAGGGCCAGTAGGCAGTGGTGCAGGAGTGTGAGCTCTGTGCTTCTGAAGCCCCCGCCAGCTGAGCGTTGTGCCTTTCCTCCCACAGGGTGTCCCTGTTTCTGACCAAGATGAGAGCCTTTGTGCAGCACCCAGCCACGGCGTCCGTATACAGCGAGCAGGACAGCGAGGAGATCCTGACCCGTGCCACTGAGCTCACCAACCTGCTGAAGATGCCCAGCGTGGCCCAGTTCGTGCTGACACCGACGGCGGAGGTGGCTGGTGCCTGGTCCCAGAGAGATGCCCCCGCAGCCCTGCCCGCCACCATGAAGATGGTCAGCCGGTTCATGGAGCAGGGGGCTGGCTTTGTGCCAGGGTGAGGGGACAGGGTGGAGAGGACCAGGCTGGCCTGGGTCCCTGTTATGACTGAGCTACTGGCTTAACTGGACATGGGGAAGGGCAAGAGCTGAGACTGCCATGAGCAGGGCCTCTGGGATGGAGGGAATAAACAGTGAAGAGAACACAAGCGGGTGGCTGAGCTCTTTAAGCTTACCCCATGCTGCGTCTTCCCTGGCCCCTGCTCCATCAGGCCCCTCCACTTCCTGCCCGCCAGGCCTCTGGGTCCCCACCTCCTTGGCGGTGCTGGGGGTTGCCCTGGCCAAGCCAGAGCACCTGTCCCAAGCAGAGAAGGGCTGCAGCTGAGGGGCAGAGCCCCATCTGGGCTTGCATGTAGTGGGGCTTTCAAGTAAAGCTCCAGCTGAGACCTTGTATCCCTGCAGGGCTGGGTTGGCAGGGAGCACCCTGCCCTAGGGGCTGGGGCTGGCAGTGGGGAGAGGAGCCTGGGAGGAGACTTCTGAAAGTCCAGAGGGTGCTGGGGCCCTGCAGGCACTCCTGGCAGGACTGGTATCCTCCTCCCTTGCCATGTCCTGGCTACACGCGGTCTCTGCCGCTAACAGTGCAGGACAGCAAAGGGGCTGTCAGTGTGGCCACCTGCCCAGCAAAAGCATCATGGGGGGCTCTGTGGCCCAGGACATGTCACAGCCTCAGCTTGTCAGAGGACACAAAATCAATACTACCAGCACGGGCACAGGCACTTTACTGGCTCCGGTGCTGTCACTCTGAGAGCCGTCCCTCATACCCCCAGGCCTCACCAGGGGCTGAGCTCTGCTCCATGTGGCGCTCAGTTATGTACAGAGATGTGCAATGCAAACAAGATCGAGGTGCAACGGGGTCCTGGCATGCACCCTGGGGAAAAGCAGGGGTTATAGATAGTCCTTGTGCACAGTTCCAGCCCGGATACAAGTGAAGTCAGCTCAGGGCTAGTGCTGGATGCGTCTCTGCCCACAGGGGCTGGAACTGGTCAAAGGACTGGGCCAGCAAGCTGCCTCCTGGGCTTGCAGTCAGCAGGAGCTTTGTGCTGCCTGCTCCTGGGCCCGGGCATCGTCTGCTCTGTCTACTTGGGTGTTCCCCATGGCTGCTCTGATGGTGCCAGAGATGCACAGGACTGAGGGGAGCTGGGCTGACCAGAGTCCCCGCGATCCCTTTGGGCTCCTTCCCCCATCGCTTGCTCCAGGCTGAGGTACCGAAGTGCAGGAGCACCATTAACAACCTGTCTGCTTTAATGAAGGCTGAGACCACTGGAGGTCCCTTTTCACCCTCCAGCTGCTTGGGAGGGGACAGCTTGCGAGAGACTGCATCAGCATCTTGCTCGTGTGGCCCAGTGTGGGTCCGGTGCCAGCTGAGAGCAGCTTGCTCTAATCAGGTACAGCTGAACAGGGCCTCGGTCGGGCTATAATTGGAAATCAGGTTGGGGTTTATGCTGATGCTGGCGGCTGAGCGGGAGAGGCAGCTGGGACGCGCCTGCACTGACGGCTCGTCCCCATGCGGGGGAGCGGGTGCATCTGTGCCGTGCAGGACAGGCAGAGGGGCCGGGGCTGTGAGGAATCAGCAACTGAAGCTGCGAGTGATTATCCAACCAAGGGAATGTGTGTCTGGGAGCCAGACGCTGTCTAATGTCCTCCACTATCTCTGCATGTCAGCAGCAGGCCCAGCTCTGGGTACGCCCCTGAGAGGGTCAGTCCCTGCCGTGGCCCAGGGCACTGGAGAGGGTCAGGCTGGTGGACGAGTGCCAAGGAGCTTCCTGAGCTACAGCAGCAGTGACGCTCCATGCCACCACGCAGCAGCTGCCTGCAGGCCACTGTCCTCTGAGCCACTGGGGCCAGGATGACTTGGCCCTGTGGGCTGGGGACTAGAAGCTGACCCAGCCAGCAGACACATGCACTGACAAGCAAAGTGCACAGGGAGAGGCCTGGGTGCAGCCTTCAGGTTCAGGACCAAATTTGTGGGGCCTGGGGACACTGCTGTACTGGCCAATGATCCCCCAGCAGAGCCCCACGGCTCATGTGATGCTGCCCTCGAGCCCATGCAGCAAACACCCTGGCCAGGCACTTCCATCGAGCAGGAGGTGCTGTGCTGCAGCCTGACCCAGAGCCCCACGATCGCCCAAGCCAAAGCCCAATGAGAGTGACCTGCGGGGCTGAGGAGGTTCAGTCCCAGGTCTGGGGGGGCAGCATGGGGCTGCTGCCATCTCTGCAGTACTGGGCAAGGGCTGCTCAGCACTTGCAGGAGCTCCTGGTGCCCTTCGCCCCAGCCCCGTCTCCTCCCAGGAGTACAGCACAGCCAGCATGGGGCGGCTGTAGCTGGGCAGCAGCAAGGTAAGACTACGATGCCTGGTGTTGACTCTAGATGAGGAATGAAGTGAAGGTGACCCCATCTCCAGTGCCCGCACTGCGACTGGCAGGCCTGAGGCATGGCATTCCCAGAGCCACGATGTGGGAGCCAGAGCTGCAGCCGGGTCTTCTCCCTTGGGGCTTCTGGCCCCAGAGCCCTATATATGCTCATGCACCCTGCCCCTGGGCGACCAAGGGCTGCTGCCATTTTACAGTTTGACTCCCCCAGAGGCCATGGACATTTGGTGCTACAATTAAGAAACACCCACAGGCAGCTCGACCTTCAGTGACATTGCTTTTTAATTCCTGGCTGCTGGCCACCCCCTGCAGGGTGACTCCCGGGCAGGGCAGTCCAGGACCTGCTACCGCTAGCCAGGCCACCAGAGCAGCGCTAGCGCGAGGCAGACTGGAGACAAAGGGAAGAGCCCAAACCACTAGCTTTGCCCAGGGGAGCATAACCAGCCTCCCTGTAGCCAACAGTCCTTCGAGGACAGACAGGGATCAGCCCTTAGCAGAGCAGAGCCTGGGGGCCAGCAGAGCCAGGCTGGGCCTGTCTGTGACGGAGGAAGAGCTGGCCATGCAATGAGCCGAGCTGCAGCAGTGGGAGATGCGGCGCATTCGCACCCTCCAGGCCAGGCTCTGGGATGAGCCCTGGGAGCCTGCACCAGTCTCTCCCCGATCCTGCAGCCTGGGGGGAGCAGGACAAGCACCTGTTTCTTGCTTGCTTCTCCAGCTGCATGCTCCCCTGGGCACCCAGGCAGCCAAGTCAGCTGCGGGCCCCAGCACAAAGGAATTAGGAAGATGGAGACAAGCTGGAGCTGATCTTTTTGGCGATATCCATGTCTGACTTGGCAACGAGGAACCGCAGCTTCTTTCCTCCTGACCGGATGAGATCGACCGCGCTGGAGAAGCCAGATAAGAGGGAGAGAGGGGAAGTCCTGTGTAACCAGCTGCTGGCACAGCCCAGCTGAAGCTGCTACTCATTGTCCTAGCTAGGCTCATGGGCCCTGTCCACCCCATCCCACCCTCTGGGCCCTGGCCCCCTGCAGACCAGAGATGGCAGGTGCTGGGTACTCTGTAGGAGACCAGGTCCCCACAGCTGTGCTCAGCAGAGCTGCAGATTGGCTGCTTTGATTTCTGCTCCCTGGCAGAGGCCTGTGCAGCTCCTGCTCAGCCCTGCCCCTTTGCACCCTTACTACCCTGCTCCCCTCACCCATGCAGCAGCCAGCAGGACCGCTGTGCTGTAGAGAGGTCTCTGGGAGCCTTATGAGAGCAGCGTCACGGCTGACAGGCAGCTGCTTCCCCTCTCGGCCCTTGTTGGCACCCCCTGCGTACTCAGCAGTAGGGCACCACGGGACTGCAGTACCTCCTCCCTTATGGGTAGCCAGGAGAGGTGGGTCCCTGCCAGGAGAAGCAAATGGGGGCACATTCAGAAGCCATTTCTGCTCCGAAGTGCAATGAATTCAATGGGCCCTGACTGCAGAGAAACATCCTCCGTGCAGCCATGAATAGCTGAGGCTGGCTGGAGTGATGGCCAGGCTGCTCTGTGCAGTGCAATACGCTGCCCCCCATGCTAACCCAGCACAGCTACCTGCCTCCTGAGGGTTAGACCAGGCACAGGTCTCTACTCAGAGTTCATGGCCTGCCCTGCTCAGATGGGGTGTCGGGATGGGGTAGATGCTGCTCAAGGAGGTAAACTCCAGGACACAGGTCTGGGGATCAGCGATCTCTCGCCAAACACAGGCTTCTCGCCTCCGCTGGGACCTGAAACGCCAGACTCCTTTGTTCTCTCATAAATGCATCACTCTGGTGTAACCCGCAGACACCACTCTCCTACCTGTGTGGTTCTTTTCCTGCATTTCCCTTTGGTACAAGCCATCCCAGGTTGTTCACACGCTATACAGCATCCTGCCTCTAACTACCATCTGTAGTAGCAAGATCTCAGAGATGCCCTAAGAAGGCCTTTCTCCCCATGTCCATGGCTGGAGGCCCTCCTCCCTACCTCTGGTAGTCGGCGCCAATCAAACTGGTCCCGTTGACAGCAAGGATGCGGTCGCCTATGGAGAGCCTGCCATCTGAGGCCGCAGGGCTGTCCTGGATGAGGGTCCTGATGTACATCCCAGGGGAGTTCAATGGTGTGTGCTGTCAACAACAAGCCGTGATCAGCACGAGGCAGGAACGAGACACGGGCTGGGCTCAAGTTGACCAACACAAACCTGGCCCGTCAGCACAGCCATCACAACAGGGGACTTTCCACCAACTAACTTGAGTCAGACCAGGAGCCCTTGTGCCACGGAGTCAGTGGTGGCCACCTGTGGCATGGCTGCTCAGAGCAGCCACGAGGTGTGAGATGACGTGTCCAACAGTGGCTCGGGGACTGACTCAGGAGCTGAAATCCCAGTTCCAGAGGGTCTCAGTCCTATGGACTTCCAAGATGGATGCTGGCCGTTGGGAACAGGACCCTGAGTGACTTGGAAAATGCCTAATGCCTGCAGCACCTCAGCCGTGGCTGACCTCCTGATCCTGGCAAGGTTAACCCCCTGGCAGCAAGGGTGAAGGGAGAGAAAACGAAGGAAGAGCCTAACAACCCAGGGACTGGTGCGCTAAAGGCAAAGCCAGCTCTGTGACTGTGTCCAGGTACCCACTTCTAACAGGAGACTGCCTCTGACATGAACAGGTAGGGAGAGTTAGCTGTGTTAGGCAGAAAGCAGGGTAAATTTGCACTTTACAGACTAAATCAGAGCTGCATAAGCTTTCATGAGCGACGGGCTTGCTTCATCTGGTGCTGCAAAGGCATGCTCTGGCACAAGCCCACACCAGGGCTTAAACACAGGCCTCCAGAGCAGCAGTGAGAGACCTGAACCACTCAGATACTGAGGCCCTGAGAGATGGTAATGATGGGCTGGCAGCATCTGAATGGTGACCTCCCTCTCTGCCTCTGCGTCCCCAGTCTCAGAGGATGTGGCAAACAACTGCCTCCGTTTTCGTGGTGGTGCACAGAAGAACTCCACGAGCAGCTGCGTAGCCCCTTCCATGCGTGGGCAAGGAGAGAAAGCTGCCGGCTGCGGGGTGGAAATCTAGGATCTGCTGCCGCCTGTGAAAGCCTGGGGGTCTGCAAGCGGTCTGCAGCCATCAGCTGCTGGCACTACAGCAAACCCCCTGCAGCCCTGGCAGTGCGCACAGCCCCATCATGGAGACTGGTGGTCAGTCGTTTATCATTTGTATTAATTATGGGGGAAGAACAAGCACTGAACCACACTGCCCACTGTCACCCTGGATGTATGTGGAACATGACTGGGGCTTGGTCAAAGCTGGATTTCCTCCTGACTAATGCACGGAGAAAGGTGTTCGTCCCCCCACAATTCCTGCTTCACTAAACCCAACTGCAGCCTGGGACAAGGCAGAAGGCCTGGGAGATACGGGAAGAGCAATTACTTTAAGTGCCTTTTCTAGCTGTACTAAGCTCTGGCTTCCTGCGCTGTGGCTGGATGTGTGCAGCAATGGGGTCTTGGAGCATGTCCTGCATGGGGCTGCACTGGCCCAGATTTCTTTGAAGCTGTCTTGAAAGGCCTGGGAGCAACCCTGCTAGTGTCCTTCCGTCTTCCACAGCCAGCCATGACCACTGCTTTGGGCTCATCTAATCCCAATTAGAGTCACAGCCCTAGGGTCAACTGACAGCTAGAATGGAGTGAGCAGGCCTCAGAAACCTGATTCCTTTCAGGACCCATCAACTGGCCTAAGTACTTGTGGTGCTGACTTTAACTCTGACGACTGATCCCAGCTCTGTTGTATTTCATAGGCAGTGAAGCCTGGGCTGCTGGGAATGTGCCTGATAAGCTTGCCATTCACTGCAGCAAAAACACCCACCGCCAGATATCCTGGAGGCCTTGGGCCCATGTCTGAAGGCAGAGGGGTACTCACCAAGCCATCAATCAGGCCCATCCCCAGCCCAATGGGCCCTTTTTCCAGTTCCACCACAAAGACGTAGCAGAAATCATCCGTGGCCGAGCTGCGACCGGAAGATGCCGGTGTGGGGTAGTCATAGGATGCTGGGGAACAGCCTGGGGGGGCAGAAGGAGATGGTGTCTTAGGAAAGAATAAGGTCTCTTCTGTACCCACCCTCTTCGGATCCACGTGCAGCCGCCCCAGCAAGTTTGCTACTGTGCCGTCAAGGCTGAAACAAGCAGCAGAGCCCAGTGCTCCCCACACAGCCTCTCTGTGCCCACCTACAGTGCTGGGTGCTTCGGTTCACCATTTGGTCTCACTGCCAGGCAAGGAACGGCAGAGCTGATGACTGCCACGGCTGGATACTGGGGATGGCAGCCAACACCTCCCTCCATGGGACTCAGTCTAGAGAGGAGTGAGGGCAGGGACCAGCATCACTCGGCCCTTCAGCAACTGGGAAGTGGCTGAGCCTGTGACACACAGGCCGGCTGGCAGAAGCCCTTGGGGCCTCCTTCCCCTGACAATAGCCTCATCTGGCTTAAAGAGCCCTGGAGAATTACTGCCCACCCCTGAGTGAGGTATTAGCCTTGGATAATGCAAATGTACCGCACTGAGATGGGCTTAGACGCCTATCTGGACAGATACCCTGAGAGCTCTGCATGGCACTCAGCCACAGGGACGACCCCTTGGAAGTCTGGCCCTGACCAGTCCTGATGCTCAATGGGCGCCTGTTTCTCAGAGCCACCAGCCAGGGCATTGCTAAAATAAGCAATGGTAGGGCAGGAAAAGCCTGTTTCCACTCGCCTGGCCCCCTGCCCTCTCTCTAGGATGCCACTGAGAGTTTAGCAGCACTGGAGACTGCTGGCTGATGCTCCAGCTTGGTTCACGATGCCAGGGAAGCCTCAGGCTGGCCGGGACTCGGCTCTAAGAGTATGCCCAGCCAGGACAGTCTGGCTACGCCTCCAGCTGCCTTTATAAAACACTCTTGCAGAGGTGCAGTCTCACATGGCCCCATTAGCCCCCATGGTGCGGTGACCAGGGGCTATCCAGCCCCGCTTGGCACAGTGGCCATCACGCTGGCACGTGGGCTCTGTTTGCTGGTCTTGCTATGCCCCCTGGCTCACAGCTGGCATGGGAGGGATTGGATAGCAAAGGGAACACCCAGGCGCAATCCCCGAGCTGCCAGCTAAGAGAAACAGCTGCCTGCGAGGTGGGGCACACGTGTTTCAGCTGTTCTCCTGGTGCCCCTTGTCTGACTGCCCCTGAGCAGCACGTCCAACCCAGCTGCTGCTCCTTTTGGGGGGTGCCATGGGCTCTAATGGCCCAGCCCAAGGCTTGAACCTCACACCAGATGCAGAGTTGTGACAGCACCCAGGCCAGAGAGGAAAGGCAAGGGGGGTCCCTGCCAGTGCACCCAGCCAGGCAGGGGCACAGTGCAGATGGCCATGGTAGTTTGTGGCCAGGCTACAAAGTGGGGAGGCTAGCAGTGCTGGCTGAGCTGGGTCAGCTGTGTAGGGACAAGCCTATCCAACCCCTTGGGAGGCCGTTCCCATGGCCCCAGAGGAGGGCTCTGCAGAGATGCCTCGCCAAGGGGGTGCCCTTACCTTCAGGGGTCGTGGCTTTGGTGCCACTGAGGCCATTGCGCCGTGGCACCTGCACAGCATTGCCACAGCCGGGGCCCTGAAGGGCCTCTGGGCTTCCTCCGTCGAACTCGAGCGGGGTGTTAGGTGGCGTCAGCAGGCAGGAGGGGTCCAGCGGCAGCAGGCTGGCCTTGGGGAGGCTTTTTCCTAGGGTGCTCTGCAGCTGCAGCTGCCTGAGCTTCTCTTGGAGCTGCCCCTCGCTGGCGCGGCACTCCTGGGCAGGCCAGCTTGCGTCCGAGGCGAGCGGAGGATTCCCATCCAGCTCCACGGCCCCGCAGGTGCCAGGGAGCCCGTACTCAGCCTGCCCGGAGGAACTCCCTGGGGCCAATCTGGCGCTCACGCTCTCGGCCACCTCAAGCACCGCTTGGCCAGCAGATGCGTCTTTCTTTAAAGAGAACAAAGTGGCATGCGTTAGCCAGACTCCGCTTCCCCACAAAGGTGCCCGGCACTGTGATATTTTCCCCCCAGGAAGCAGGGACATCCCAGCCTCAGCTCACTCCCCATGGGGGCTCGTTGCCTTGGTTTTGTGGCCCTTGCCTAAAGGATGCGGGTGCCTTACACCATGTGCTGGTGCAGGGACAGGCAGGCACTGTCTCCCCACCCCAGCTCCAGTGCTTGGGAGAGGAGAAATGACTTGTCCGGGGCCCTGGCAGAAGTCAGTGTCAGGGAGGTCACAGACCGCCAGCCCCTACCACCTGCCCATCACTGGTGCTCCCTCTCCTGCAGGTGAGCCAAACCCTTCCAAACCCTTCCTGGGCAATGTGCTGTTGCACAAGGCGCGTGCCCCCCTCACTCCTTCCCCAGCCCCCTCCACATGTTTAGGAAGCTGCAGCTCTGCCCTGGGAGCTTTCTCCGCACAGCTCGGGCCCCCAGGGCACACGTGAGCCAGAGACCCTTTGACAGGGCTCAGTTCCACAGGCGCGGGGGATGCGCTAGGACGCCCATCACTCTATCGGGCACGTGCGGGTGTCATGTCCCCAGGCAGATGTGCCTGAGGCCTGGTAGCTTTTGGCCAGGGGCAACAGGGCTATGTAAGACATTAGGGCAGCAGCACAGTGCTGGAAAGCACGAGGGCCGCCCCCCCTCCTGGCTCTAGCTCCTAAAATTGGTGTGGCAACCAAGAGAGGAGGGGAAAGACTGTGACAGCAGAGGCCTCCAGGCGCTGATTCGGGGCACAGAGTGCATGCGGGTGAGCCAGGATCCTCCGGCCACTCCTGCGACAGGCTGAACCCAATGGGGTCGGTGCAGAGCCAGTGCTGCTCCCAGAACCTGTCCTGGCAGATGCTGGGTGGGATGAGAGAGGACAGGGAAGGGGCGGAGGGCCGGGGTCATTAATGCTTAGCCCGGACACCATATTTCATCACCCCAGCATGTCCCTAATTAACTGCAAGGGCCGCAGATGTCTGTGCATCATGGTGAGGTTGGACCCAGGGGCCTTGGCCCCTTTCAGGAGATCATGGCCACTGCTGGTTTGCAGCCGCCCGGCGAAGGGAGATGAGCAGGGACAGGGTGAAGGAAGAGAGCCGGGGGCAAGAGGAATATGGCATCATCAGCTGGCAGCTCCCTCACCTCCTTCCCCTACTCGGCCTCCTACAGGCAAAGACACAGGGCTCCCAGGCTGGGGCCAATTGCACAACCTAACAGGGTGCCCAGCTCCAGCCTCTGCTGCCCCTGCCTCCCCCATGAAGCCATGACAGCCCCAGCAACTGCTCAGCCTCACACCAGCAAAGACCTGGGGCTCCCAGGGCTGCGGCTCCATCCAGTCCAGTCAGCAAGGAGCTTGCAGAGTCTAGGACTGAGAGTGAGCCCAGCCCAGCTGCCAATAATGGTAGCTTCCTGCTGGCTCGTGTAGGACTAAAGAGCGAGAGATGCCCTCCCTGGTCCGAGCCAAGCACCCATTAACCAATGAACCACTTACACTGCCCACACACACACACACACACACACACACACACACACACACTCTCTCCCTGCAGCAGGTGGGTGCAATGGTGACTGATGGGGCACCTCTAGGATGAAAGCCACAGCCAGGACCGGACCAGTGCTCCTGCCACTGACAGAAGCTGCTGGAACGGACAAGGCTGGGGGATGCTTGCTGCACTCTGTGGGGAATCGAAGCAGCCCCAGCGCGTCAGGGCCCAAAGGGCAGTAAGGGGACAGAAGGGGGAGTCACCCGTCTCTGCGGGCTGTGCCCCCCGCACTGCACTGCACTGGGCTTCCCCCCATGGCTGCACCTCACGACATACCCCTGGCGCCCAGCCACCCTCCAGCTCTTCAATCATGAGACCTGCGCGGCGCGCCGCAAAATGCCTCAGCTCAACATATGAGATTAGTGGGTCCCAGGGAGCCGCAGAGGACATGGCAATGTCAGCGGCGCAGAGAGGCAGCTAGGGCCCAGTCTTGGCTCTCTGCAGCAAGGCATAAAGGGGCTGGAAAGTGGAAAGCATGCAGTAATCAGTAATGCCTGGCTAATGGGATTGAAGCGTGTGGGGTAGCGCAGTGTTTCCTAGTGGTTAGAGCGGGGGGGGAGGGCTGCGAGGCGGCTGGTGAAATGGCAGAGATGTGTGCAGGGCTGGGGATGCCTTGCTGAGTTCTGGTAGGCACACTGCTCCCTCTGCACATCAGGGCTACCTTTGGGGGCTCCGGCTCCAGGCTGTCACCAGCGTGGGGGCTTTTACTCCGCAGACTCCACAGGAAATGACGGATGTAGAGGAGGTGCCGATAAACATTGTCGTCCAGCGTCTCCACCTCCAGCTCTACCTGGAAGCCCCCGCTCGGCAGGACGATGGGTGGGTGGTTATCGAAGGACTCCAGGACTTCACCTACAAGACAGAGCAGGAGGCTGGGGCCTGAGCAGAGCCTCAGCTCTAAACCTACCACTGCAGAGTGACCCAGGGCCCCCCTCCGGGGTCATTTCAGCCAGACCCTCCATTACTGGACTGTAGATATCACTGGTTGTCACACAGGAGCAGACTTACCAGAGCCACCCATTAGCCCCCAGAAGAAGCTGCTCCAGTGACTGCTTTGTGTGTCATCCCCTGACACTATTCTCAGGGCGGGTGTTACTTTCCAGCTGGCTGTTCAGGAGCAGACACTGCTGCTCTGCGGATTTGCAGCTCAGCAGGGGCCATTCTGTACTGCCCACCCATCCTCTAAGAAAACCGCAACCCACAGGATTTGTCTTTGAGCAACTGCAGTCCAACTCACCTGCTCCTCCCTGGCCCCTGCAGCTCCTGCCCCACCACTCCCCCCAGTTCTTCCACCCCTGGGAGCCCTTAGGAGGCCATTTAGTCCACTGCTAGCCCTGCTGATTAAGCAGAGAGTGTTGTCCATAGCACATCTTCCAGGACTAAGGACTGCCAGAAGAGCAGAGGAGCCTCCATCACCTCTGGTCCACCTAGGCATTCTCCAAACCAGACCAGACTAGTGAGGCTTTACCCCTTTCACTCGGTGCTACTCACAGCCTGACACACTACAAGCAGGGTTTGCTTGTAGGAACCATTTCCCCAAAGGCAATGCAGAGATTTCATTAACTAAGGATTAGCCACAATTTCCCAGAGAGCCCCTGGCTATGTCGGGGACAAAAGCTACTTACAGCATCTAAACAAGACCTCCGTGGATTTGCTTGGGCACCTAAACCATTGCAGTGCTTGGAAACAGTCACTACAGCACTCTCCCTACAGTGATGCAAGCTTTAAATAGCAGAGATATTTTTAACAGCTTCTTGTGTAAGCTGCCCTGTCTGGCACTGATGTGCAGTATCAGCTTCCCAGGTTCTCGTGGCATCCCTGGCTCTCATGTTGAATTTTATTACTCGTGCGGTAGGTGCTTGATTTGTGCAATTTGTGCGAGGCTTCAGGGCAGATGCCTCAGGTCCCCCTAGCACCAGTGAGGAAGGAAGACTCACCGAGCAAATTCACTTACAAGAGCCTTGAGCGACTGGTCTGGGTTTGCTTTGCCCCACAATCCTCAGCCCCCTGCAGCACAAGCCCAGTGAAACTACTCGAGAAGCCTGAAAACTACATCCCACCACGCCGGGTAGGTTGAGCAAACTAATCTGTCCTGGCAGGTTTGGAGAGGACTTTGTGCTTCCCTTTGGAGAAGACATGGGGTTGCTTGTTGGATGTGGACCTGAGGGCAGGCTCTGCTACTTCTCAGCAGCAAAAGGGTTTTGGGGCCCAGGTGATACAGGAACACAGGTTGCACTGGACCTGCTCTTACCTGTCCTGGAGGCCAAAGCGCTGTCCTCCTCGCCAGGCTGCCAAGCTGCGCCGCCGCCCACGTCAGACACGGCCTGGTACTGCGTCAGGACTCGATGGAGCTGTGCAGGGCTCAGAGCTGGGAACTCCACTCTCAGTGAGGGCCAGGGCATCTGGGCAAAGAGACCAAGAGCTGGGGAAGAGGCCTCAAGGCCTTAGCCACAGGGCAGGAGGGTCTCCTAGGCTGAGCTTGTGCCGTGGAAGGGTACTGGTCTGAGGCCAGAGCAGGGTCAGGGTTTGGTGACCTGTGGTGCTTCTACAGGAAGCAAGGGAGAAGCAAGCTAAACAGATCACTATGGAGCTGGGCTCTCAGGCCAGTCGGGGACAACACGAGATGGGACATTCCAGTAACTGGCTGCCCACCCAGAACGAGTTGCATGAGGCTGATGTGAGCTGGGATGTGACATGTGAGTGCACTGGGCTCCGGCACTCCCCCCTTCCTCACCTGCACCAGCTGGGAGCTCGGCAGGGCCAGGAGGTCGGCCAGGCTGGAGAGCTTGCTGAAGAACTGCTTGGCCAGCTGCTCGAAGCCCAGGCCACGCACCCAATCCAGGAGCAGCCGCAAGCACGCGCGGATCTTCACCCCTTTCGACCAGTGGAAGCAGCCCAAGGAGGGACCTGGGGGCGAGCAGGAGGCAGAGAAAATGAGGTGCTAGACTTCCACCTGACTTGGAACAGGCTCCTTGCATCAGGCAAGGCAACACGCACAGCGCTACAGGGGCCAGACGACAAATACCATCTCTGTGTTACCTGGGACAGGTGCACCAGGTAGGCAAGAGGCCATCATGGCCAAAGCCTGCTTTCTCCAGGCCTGCAGCAGGGATCCCTGCAGGGGATGTCAGCGAACCCTGGAACCAAGCAGCCCCTTCCAGCCCTGCCCTCATCCTGCTAGCACCAGCTTCCTGCCGGTCCGCTAGGCACTGACCCAAGCTTGCTGTCGGCCAAACCCCCAAGCTGCACCCAGCTAATCCCAGCTCCTAGGGCTGACAGAATAAGGGTGGTGCCTGTCCCTGGCCTGTCACAGACATAATGCTTGTCTCCGGAGCCTGTAAGTCATGAAGTTCAGCTGCTACTACTTCCAGTGTATCCATCCTGGAGGGCCCTTTCCCCACGAGGCACAGAGAAAAGAGGAGCTGGGGCATGGCACAAAGTGTGGCACCATGATGCCCGGCTGTCCCAGGCTCTGATCAGCTCTCACATACAGAAAACAGCCTCCAAAAACTAATGCCTTCCTCAACAGGCAGTGAGCCAGGCACCCTGCTGCAGGCCCAAAGGCACAGGGGAGGGCAGGGAGCTGGCCTTTGGCTGCAAGAAAGAGCTGCAGCACCGAGTTGCTCTCCAGCAGGCCAGGATGGAGCCAGTGCCCACTCACAGGAGGAAGGCATGAGCTGGAGTGACGGGGCTCTGGCCCTGACCCACACCCTGATCCTCTCCTACTGACTCGGCCCCAGTGCTAGCTCTCACCCTTGCAGGCTGGGAGGCACACCAGCCCACCATGGGCACACCAGGAGCCCAGCACTGCTGGGGGTGTTAGGTGATCCTGTACTGCCAGGCCTGACCCAGAGTCATCTTGCCATGGGCTTCAATAGGAGGAGGTAGCCTGAGGATCCCCCATCATAGATCAGAGCCCCACTGCATGGCCTGGGTTGAATCACAGGCCATGAGCCAACACCAGCTGGACATGGAGGCATCTGAAAGCCTGCAAGAAACACAGCTCAAGTGAAACAGCCACTGCTCAATGGTCATAAAAACTAGATAAATCGGTGGAGGCTGAGGTGCTCTCTGTGGGGCGTAAGCGTGCGCTCTGCTGCACAGGGACGGGAAGCCTGGCATGCTGGAGGCCAAGCAAGACCCACCCTGAAACTACCCATTGAAAAGCCCAAAGAAGTTTCCAACCTGGAGGTCACCTTGAACCCAGCTCAACATCCCTCCCTGCCCCTGGAGCTCTTGACCGGGTGGACTGTCAGCAGGAAAACCTGGTGGCTCCCTCCCCTGCTTGTTGCTGCCCGGTGCAGCTCTGTGCAGGGAGCAGAGCCTGACAAGACAAAGGCTGCAGCGGTGACAAGGATGAATGGGAAAAGCAGGTTAATTCCTCAGGCATCCTCCTGCTATTAATGCATTTGGCACTAGCGATAACACACCTGGCACTAATGAGCTTGTGCAGATAGTTTGACAGGAAGCCTGTGGCAATTAGGATGCATTCACAAGCCAATTTTCTCTGCCATTTAAAAGCCCATCGCCATTTTTTTCTTATTCAGGATGCTCCAGGGAACAAAGTCTCCTACCCCCGTGGTCTCCTACCTGTGCTTGTTAAGAGAACGGCAGGCCTTTCTCCGGTCTTGGGGTGAGAGCGCAAAGGGGGAGTCCCTTAACTGAGGGGAGAGCTACAGGAGTCTGAGCACATCACCATGAGAAATGGGATTACTGCAGCCATCCATGCCATTAGTAAGGGGCTAAGGGAGTGTCCTCAGTGAAGGCAGCAGGTGTGAGCAAGCTAGCAAATGGGAAGGGAGAGTCAAACCAAGGAAGAGAGACCAAACTGAGCCAAGTCTTTATCAGAGCCAACATCACACACAAATTATGATCTATGAAGTCAGTGGGAGCCCAAGGAAGTGGAGTGAGGAAGACCCCTGGGGCTGGGCCCTTGCTTGGTTTATCACAATCAAGCCTTCACCCATGCTCCAGCCCCCCTTTCTACCAGCCTGGCAGGGTCTCCTTCCCTAACACACTCTTCTAGTCTTAGCACATGGACCCTAGCAGAGCTCAGAGATATCGAGGCACCACATGCTCTGCTGACATTGGCTAAACGAAGGACTTGGGAGCTTCGAATGGGTCTTAAGGCAACCTTAGCCCCTGTAGAAAGCACATCCCACCCTCCACGTGGCTGATCCTTTGCTCACAGCCTGGCTGGCTACACTGCAGAGCCCAATAGCTCTGGTCTCTTTATTTAATGAATAGACACAAAAATGTTTTCAAAGCACACCTGTTCCTCCCACATGTCTCCCCCTTGGGCAGAGGCTAGTGTAGACGCTGCGAACATCTGTAACCCCTGGGACAACCGCCCCAGCCTGAGAGGGTCTCACCTTTGTCCATCAGGTGATTGAAGAGCAGCGTGTTGGAAAAGAAGAAGAGGTAGGCAAACATCTGAGAAGCGATCTCGGGGTGCACCTCGTACTGGTGAAGCAAGTCTAGCGTCTCCTGGTAAATCAACGCAACTCTGCAGATCTCCTCAGGCAGCTGAGGCAATCCCTGCCAGCCTTCCCGGCCCTCATTCTGGAAGGGGTTACACTCCAGAAGGCCGGGGAGAGAGACATACAAAGACTGGATGGGGAGGAAATGAGAAATACACAGGCCTGTGATTCAAAAAGCTGGAGATTCAATGTGGGAGGCCCTTCTGCGTTGGCAAGAGGGCCAAGACATGACCTACCAGGTCTTCAAACCACCCTCTTCGGTGTTCCCATAACACGTGGTCAAACCCTGCGGCTCTCCAACAAGGAGGGGTATTTCCAGTTCCCTCCCAGTCTCACCTTTTGCTACCTGCACATCTGTACCAACCAGTCCCTCACATGAATATAATACCCTACCCAGAGTTAATCGGTAAACTGGTCTCTCTTTTAGTGGGCAAGTGCCACATCAGACACAAACCACTGGAGATGCTGAGCAGAGAGAACATGCCAGGGCAGTGCATCCACATGGGGAAACAGGAGGCCCCAGACACCTGGGAGAATAAAGAGGTAGAAGCCAAAACAGCAGCCAATTAAAGTCCCTTTCCTTTACGTAAACGAGGATCAGAGAAGAGCAGCGTCCAACCAGAGCCCTCTCCTGTGTTCAAATGAAAGAGGGAGAGTGTCCCGTCAGCGTTCCTGCTAAGCCAGCAACCGGGAGAAGCCAAGAGAAATGTCAGCCCATCCAAGGGAGGATGAATCTGCTGGAATAGCACACAGACCTTTCCACAGAAAGGAAATAGCTGCAAATCGAACCTGGGAGAGAATTTGCCCCTTCCCAGCATGAGGCCGAGTCCCTGCTGTTGGCAGGCGAAGCTGGGGAAAGGCAGAGTCATTGGGTGAGTTGAACGTCTCTGTGGATGGGAACAGGTCCCCGCCCTGCAGACACAAGCAGCCTTTCTCCCAGCGCACACTGCACACTCTGTTCAGCACTCCTGCCTGGGCACCTCTGCCAATGGCTCACTCCAGCAGCCAAAAAGAGAGAGGCCAGAGGGAGCCTTTCCATCACACCCGTGAACTGAGTCATTATGCCCAGGGTGGTTACTGTACAAATCACAGACAGGTCGAGGAGGGCTGGAGGAGCTTCCCCAGCAACGCTTTCTAATGATTTCATAGATTTCATAGATATCAGGGCTGGAAGGGATCTCGGAAGATCATTGAGTCCAACCCCCCGCCCCAGGGGCAGGAAGTCAGCAGGGATCATAGGGTCCCAGCAAGATGAACATCCAGATTTACTCTTGAAGGTGTTCAATGTAGGTGCTTGAACCACCACCGATGGCAGGCTGTTCCAGACCTTGGGCGCTCGGACAGAAAAGAAATTCTTCCTTATGTTCAGCCTGAAACGGTCTTGCAGTAGTTTATGACCGTTCAACCTCGTCATCCCTTGGGGCGCTCTGGTGAACAGACGTTCCCCCAGATACTGGTGGTCACCCCTGATAAACTTATAGGTGGCCATCAGATCACCCCTGAGCCTGCGCTTTTCCAGGCTAAAGAGCCCCATGGCTCTCAGCCTGTCGTCGTAAGGTCTGTTTTCCTGACCTCTGATCATATGTGTGGCTCTTCTCTGCACTCTCTCAAGCATCTCCACATCCTTTTTGAGTTGTGGAGCCCAAAACTGGATGCAGTATTCCAGCTGCGGCCGAGTACAAGGGGAGAGTGATGTCCCAGGATTTGCTTGAGAAGCATCTATGGATGCAAGCCAGCATTTTGCTCACTGTACTAGCTGCAGCATCGCATTGCAGGCTCATGTTCATCTTGTGGTCAATCCTGACCCCCAAGTCTCTCTTGTCCATGGTGCTAGCCAGCGTAACACAGCCAAGCCTATAAGGATGCTGCAGGTTTTTCCTCCCAAGGTGAAGAGCCTTGCATTTTTCCAGGACTAGTCACTTCCTCCTGGCTTCTTGCACCCCGTGCTGCAGTTTCCAAGCCCAAGGCCATGCAGGGAAAGGTACCATCCTCACCTCGTACCTTCCCTGCACTGTGATCAAAACCAGAGCGCTTCAGCGGAATATCTATCAGCTACATAGCTAACTCAGAGACTGAGCTTGGATCCTGCAAGTGACCCTGTACCTTTGCCAACACATCCACACCTGCGGACACCCACCTTACAGACAGTGCTAGGGTTAGCCCTTGAGGACTCACTCAGTCTGGCACTGCAATGGGGCCAAGGGGGCCTTCACCCATCCATCCTCCACTGCAAAACACCTGGTTTTAATAAACACGCCCAGCCTGCTGCCCATCTAGATTATGTGGCCCTCAGCAGAGGGTCCTGAGAGGTGTCTGTCCCACAGGGATAACTTGTTACACCACAGGGGTGTAGGAGGGCAAGGTAAAGCTTGCAGGCAGAAATTACAGGAAGATCTACAACACGCCAGCCCTTCCCAGTCCTCCATGGAGTTCATCCTCACGTCTTACCTGTCACCCTGGACTCAGGCTGGATTTGAACTGGCAACTTCGAGGTATCAAATTGTGCAGCACATGGCAAGGAACCTGAATGACCTTCCTGGATCTCAGAAATTAAAAGCAAATCTCCTATTTTGCAAAACCTAGTAGCTTCTGCCCTAACACCACTGGAAACACTGCTTGGAAATGAGGGTGGTCACTGGCAGTTCAGAAAGCTCACAGCCTCTTCTCCTTTTACAGGGCATGTACCCAGCATGAAAGCTTCAGCCTGGCTAGCTCCAGTGCACAAACTCTCCACAGAGCCATGGTAATCCAGGTAGTCCTTTTGTGACTCAGTTTCCCACCAGCAAAACTACAGATAACAATTCTTTTCTCCCTTTGCTGGATTTAACTATTCCAGTCCTAAGCTTTTGGGAGTCATAAGTGTCCCTCTTATGTGTTAAGGTAATCAGGATTCGTAGTAGAGATGATATCTTTTATTAAACCAACAAGATTTTTGCAAAAAAAGGTCTTTAATTGCAAGCTTTTGGGCACAAACATCCTTCATCAGGCATTGGAGAAAAGGCTGTAAAAGTTCTCCTAGGTAGAAATGAAAGTTTGTGCCCGAAAGCTTGCAATTAAAGAATTTTTTTTGCAAAAATCTTGCTGGTCTAATAAAAGATATCATCTCTACTGTGAGTCCTGACTGCTTTTTCCTTTAGACCAATACAGCTACAACCTGGAAACCGCTTATGGGTTCACACTGTGCCTACAACAGCCTGACCCAAACCTTGCTTGAAGCCTTATAAACACTGTAACAAGGCCTGGAACAGACTGCTTTCAGAGGTGATGCAAGCACCTACTCTAGACTCCTATAATAGTCAACTGGATGTTTATCTTGCTGGGATCCTTTGATCCCAGCTGACTTCCTGCCCCTGGGGCAGGGGGCAGGACTCGACGATCTTCCGAGGTCCCTTCCAGCCCTGATGTCTATGAAATCTATGAAATAAATAACCATAACTAAATAACACGTGTGAAAGAGCACACAAGATTGACTACACATTTAAAAAATCAACCCATGGAGCTAATTCTGCTTTGGTTTTTAGTGGCAATGGAAAGACAAGAATGACTGAGTTCCCTTTCACTTGCTCTCCTTTGAACTGTGCCCTACTGCTCAGGGTATTCGGTATATTCTTGTAGACCATGAATAGACCAAATATCTATTGAAATTTGTATCCCTCTGGTGCACATTTTAAAACTTCTGGTATATAAATATGCAATTACTAGAAAGCGAAAGCGACTGTCCAGGGGCTTAGCAAAGGGACCTAGATACAAGACTCTCATTAACTTCAGTGGGTCCAGGGTTTCACTCCCAGTCTTTTACTTCGAGATCACCAGTTCCTATTCAGCCAACAGCAATAATGGACACAAGATGTTGTTATCTGATGGTCTGGTTTTGGCCTACCTGACTGGGGTCTTTTCCCTACTCACATCCCCTTCACATCCAGCAAAGCACAGTGCTGTCACTCTATTCCAGGGAAGGGCAATTATTTTGGGTGGAGGGCCACTTACTGAATTTTGGCAAGCCATCGAGGACCATATGACAGGCAGTCAGAGGCAGATAAATATTAATTTTCTAAAACGTTGAGGAGCCCTGTGGGCCAGCCAGACTGGCCTGGCGGGCCGCATTTTGCCCACCCCTGCTCTACTCCTTTCCTCACCTGGCTCCTTCCTTTGGGATAAAGTATGTTAGAGGACGGAGGGAAAGAAGATGGGGTGCCCATACCTTGGAGATATAGTAGACACACTGCTGAAATGTATACATGATCACTTCCTCCAGCACTGTCATGGCTTCCTCGCTGGCTGTGATGGTCGAAGAGAACAGAGACTCCTTTGAACCTAATGGGAAAAGACAGCAATTCAATGCAGCAGAGCCAAGACCACCAGACTCCCCTTGGCTCTGCTCTGTCAGTGGAAGGACAGTCTCATTGAAACTGAGAGTATAATACTGCATTTCCTGCAAGGGCCCCATCCCATCAACTTCATTGACACGTACTAAATGGTCACTGGCTTGTTACTGCAAAGAAAGCCTACATAGGGGTTGCAACGTGGGATTAGGAACAAGGTCTCTGGGTTCTATTTCCAGCCTTTTCATTGACTTTGGACAACATCAGCGGACAACGCGCTTTGGCCAATGGATGCTTGGGCTAATCGCAGTCTCAGTAAAGTGGGGATAGTTACAATTGCTGACCTTGCAGGAAGGATGTCAGACTTAGTCCATTAATATCAACGAAATGTATCAAGATCCTTAGAGCGAAGGTGCTAGAGAAGCCACTGAACTCTCACTTAACACAGCACGGTAGCAGTGATCAGACCCCAGTTTGAAGCTGACCTCTCACTGCTCTCTCGTTTCTAACAGCAAGGGCTGTTTCGAGGAGGTGCCATGGAGGAGCCTGTGTCATTACCGACAGCCACTCCCAAATGCCAAAAGCAAGTGGCGAGGTACTTCTTTCATCGCACCAACTGGCTGCTTGACATTCCCACTGCACTTGTGAAGATAACCCAAGAGGGACATTACCTGACTTGACATTAAGAAAGGAGAGACAATCCAAGATGGCTCTTGAAGACAGAGACTGAGAAACAGAAGCCATTCCCACCTGAGGCTGGTCAGCGGTGATGTTTCAGTGGACAGCCATGGACGGCACAAAGTGCTGGCAGTCCACCTCTCTCCATGAGAAAAGCCATTGCCTATACTGTACCTCTTGTGTTTGTGCCATGGATGAAAACCGAATGTCCAAAGCTGTCTGTCCAGCCACCGAGGTCTCTCCAATTGAAGAGTTTAGTTCGCACTCTCTTTCCCTCTCTGCCTGTTACCACCAGTGCGACAATCAGCCTGTCCCTCACTCACTTCTTCTCCAAAGGGTAACACAACTGGGCAACTTAGGCCCACATTGGTGCCTTTCCATAGTGGCTGGGAAGCCATTACCAACATCATGCTGGGAGCTGGAAACACCAGTGCCATGTTTTTTTATTCCCTTTTCAGTTTCCTTAAGATGCTGCACCTCTTTGGGGCTTTACGAGCCAAGCTCAAAGGCAGATCTCAAGCACAGGTGTCTGCCGTAGCAGTTGCAGGTAAACACGCACTGGTTGTATTTCTAGGTGATGAGAGGTTGAAGAGGTGGGAGGGGGAACACTTCCCCTATAGACTAGCATTTGCCTTCTTGAGCCACTTGGATTTCAGTTATGATTTGCAGCCCGGTTTGCTGAAATATCTGTGCAGCTGGATGCAGGGCTTTCTGAAAGGCCTGTGTTTTGGAACAAAAGAGAAGCCTTCAAGAGCTTTGCCAAAACCCTTCACCCCTGGGCTTCCCTGACGTGGAGGGAGAGGGAAGGAAATTCCATGACGGGACCTGACTGTATGTCCCACGAGTCAGGGCCGCTAGTGAAAGATCCCAGGGGTCATTTGGGAGGTGAATTGAAAAGGCTTGGATAAGCAAGAAGCTAGCAGGGTTGTTTCTGTCTGCATGCTGCATGGACCGGTGCTTTGCAAACTTTTGCATGCAGCTCTGCTAACAGCAGCTCGAGCCTGGGCTGCAACAGCACACTGCTATTCTAATCAGGGGACCCTCTCACAGCTCTGCCAGCTCACCTGAGTCCGGATCTACCACTTACCCTGGTCTATTTAGTGCCAAGATGGGCTGTTGCACTTCACTGAGTAAAGCAGTACTCTCCAATCTTCCCCATCCCCTAATCAAGGGCAACATCCTCATTCATTTCCCATGGCCTCAAAAAGCAGCAGAGGGCATTGTAAACCTGTTGTCTGCAAGCCACAAGCTGAGGACTGGTGAACAGGCTATGTGATGTGAGCAAATTCCCACTCCTGAGTGGAAAAAGACCACCGCATTTACTTTGCTTGTGGCTAAAAAGCAACACCATGAATCCAGGTTTTCTAAGTGGGGACAGTCAGTACAGCCATATCCGAAGAGAGGCAACTGAGCTTTGCAAAACGGACATCAAAAAGGATATCTCCTATCAACATATGGGTCCTGGTGCTCATCTTCTGCTGCCATTTGAAGTGAAGCAAGGCATGAGGGAATATGCTATTGCAGGGTTTCAAATGGGAAAATAAAGAGAAGCCACAAGAGCCCTGAAAAAGTCAGGCAAGCTGGTAAATCTTTATGCTCATGTACAATGAAAGAAGGCTTCAGCCAGGGCTTTAAAGATGCACTGCAGAGCTCTTCTGAAGCCTGTGTATAAACTGGATTCCTCACTGTCCTGAACGTGCTCAGGTCTCCTCCGGCCCAGACTATCTGTCCTGCTTTCTGAATGACTGCAGCCAAGTCGCCTCCAGCCACTTGTGTGGGGTTTTCTCTCCTCATGCAGCTCCACAGATGATGAGCCCGCTTCATCTGAGCACCCCACAAGGCGCTGGGAAGCTCTTGGTAAATAGTGTGCCAGCCAGTTTTGGCTTAATGGGCACTCCCAAACCATTGGCTTCAACTGCTCTGTCTCCGCTCTTAAGTGACATGGTATCAGTTTCTGCTCAGTCACCCATTGACCGGAACTGTCTAAACTGAGGAGTAATGAAATAGTCATTTTAAAAGAAAAGACCTTTCTGGTGCAACATTTTCACATTAAGATTCATTGGTGTTAAAATTCCCAAAGCTTCTGGACCTGGTGCCTGTTTGGAGGCACCCAGGTCATCCAGTCACTCTGGGATGATTCGACTCTATAAAATAGGAGACCGATCATAGGGCTTTTATTTACAAACATGTACCCGAATCATGTTGGTGTCACAGTACTGGTATAAAGCAGCCTTCCTGGATGCTGAGACTCCCACCCTGGGCAGGTGAACTTTTGAGCTTCTTGAGACTGAGCAGCATCTAGGTATGGCCTGGGTTGGGATCTCTCATCAGCCCATTGGTTAACAACCAAGGCCAGAAGGGGACATTGAGAACATCTAGCTGAATGGGTGCCAACGTTTTTGGCAGATGTGCCACAAACTAGCCCTGCACCCTCCTCAAGAGGCACTCTGATCCTCTTCCCCTGCCCGATCTGCTGCTCTGCTTTCTGCTCCCAGGTCTGACCTGAGGTTTGTTAGGTTACTGATAGCAAGAGGAGGGAATGAGGTTTGACTTTCCACAGTGAGCAGATTTTGTTTTAGAAGCAGTGGGAAGACACCTACCCAATTACCCTGCTTTTCCCCTGTCTGTTTAAAAGGGGATTTTCTGTGCTCTGAACCAGGCTTTAAATTCAGCACAGGCTAGAGACCTCCTGAAAATCAGAGACCTACCCCCATAAGCACCACCAAGGTTTCTCTTCCTGATAGAAAACAGTCTTCTGTTAATAAATGATTTTAAGCGGGATCTAGAGTCTTGGCAGCCCTTAGTGGGTGAAACCTCCACCGAGAAACAAAGATAAAAAAAAGAATGAGAGGAAGAGACTGGAGAATAGAAACACTGACTGAGGCAGGGGCAGAGAAAAGCATGAAGGCATGAGTGGAGGAGGGAACAACTGTCTACGTACTGGCAGTGTCTACACCTAGCGGGTCTCTGGCAGCCACACTTCATCTGACACTTGGTTGCTCTCCTCCGGATTCTAATATCCCAACATGTCATGATAAAAATATCCTTGGGTGTCAGTATTAAGGGGATAAAGGGAGCAGGTAGGAAGATTTATACCATAGAGGTGTACTGGCAGGAAGGAGTATGAGTCCTACCCTTGACATCCATCTCCTCCTCCATGCTCTGGATATAGACGGGGGATTTCTGCTGGATGAAGTACAGTAGCTCGATGGAGTTGGACATCCAGAAGAGAACATGCTGCAGGTCCGGGACCAGGTCTCCGATTGTGAAGTGCGACAGGGATGCAGGATCCTGGCTGGTGAGACAGAGAGGCAAGAGAAGGGTTTCAGACACCATCAAGGCAGAGCAGCAGAGTCAATCTTGCTGTGCGCACTGGGGCCTGGCCATGAGAAAGGTCTGTGCCTCTGCCTCTCTGAGAGGCCGGCAATGCAGGATACTCCCAGCGGGAATATTTTAATCACTACTGTCCCACACTATAATGGATACAGCAGCTGGGGCTCCAGTGTGCCAGCGGCATGGACTCACCCATCACATACCTTCCCCCAACAATATTCTCAGCAGCTTTACAATCATAAACTGTCCCCAGCACTAGCCAGTTCCATACTTAAAAAGCAAACCCAGCAGTTAGGTTTCCCAGGGGTCTCGAGGTGCGCTGCGAAACTGCTGCTGCCTCTGCAAGAGATGGGCCTACACAATACCAGCAGGATAGCTGCTCCCCCAAGCCCCTGGAAATCCAGCAGATCTGGAGATCCAGCACTGGGTGTCTGGGTGGGCCCCTTCTTCCTACTGCCTTAGCCTCAGGGGCTGGACACTTCTAGGGAAGTACTGGGCAGCCACAGCCTCCATTGAGGTGGAAGGTGCCAAGAGCTCCTTGGGTTTTTATGCATTAACAGTGCTGCTACGATTTCTTCATCCATCCAAGGGCATTGTAATCCCTTCTTCCTAGGGCCTGGATGGACAAACATGTTAATGCCAGTACAGCAAGACTTTACACCTGCTTAGCAAGGAATGGACAAATGGCAGAACCCCCAACGCTGGGATAATTTCTCAAAGTCTAGAATCATGCCTCAAAAACCCAGGGATAAAACTCCCCCCTCTCCCATGTGAGTTCTGCTAGTAAAGGAGTCATCTGTTTGCAGCTTATACCAAGGCCAATAGGCCCTGCCTTGCTTTGCTTCCACCTAGTATTAAGGTACAGCACCAGCCATTTACCGTGTACAGCTACCCTGGGGGAGTTGCATGTCTGCGTGCTCAGGACCCTGGGATAATTTCCACCAGTGTTCAAAACCAATGCCAGCTGCAGCAGTGCAGATGTGTCCTAGGGTAATGAGCAGGAGGGTGCCTTGTGGCAATCTTGCCCCACGCCCCTCCCGAATGGGAATGTCCACCTCCTCCATCGATGGGTCTCAAGGGCACTGAAGGAGCCTGCCCGCTGCGAACGACTGACAAGCAAAGACTTGGATTGAATGCTTATTTCAGCCCTTTGGCCCTGAGCCTGATGGCCTGAGTCAAAGGGAGCTGACAATACTTGGGGACCGGCCCCTTCTACAGCATTGAAAATGCAGAGCAGGATACTTTTGGTGCTCTGGGATTTAGCATGAACATTTAATGCCAATGAGAAACCTTCATTCTGCACTGGGTCTGGCAGGGACAGCAGCAGGGCAAGTTTCTCACATGCTGCCCCTGCCTATAGGCCACAGCCTGGATATAGAGAACTTTACTCCTCCTGGTGTATTCAACCCACTGGTTTTAAAGGGTGAAGCTGAGTGTTATCATATGGCTTCATTGCATTTATTAATCACATGTGATAACATTAAAGCCGTCACAGCAAAGCCCCGTCCCTCCCTAAGAACTATGCACAGCCTGTGCCAAGGCTGCATGCTTAAAATCCAGCCCTTTGAGTGATCCAAAGGCTAAAAAAAAAAAATCAGCATCTGGAAAATTTCTTAACTCGTGAACCACTTTTTCCTGCTGCAGCAACTCAGAAATGGCTGGACAACATTTTTCCGAACGCTTTATTAAAAAAATTTGCTTAGGAAAAAGCTTGGAGAAATTCCCCCTCCCAAGCTATTTCTGGGGAATGTTACAAGTCACTGAAAAAGTGGGCTTTGGACAGGAGCACTCATGCAGCACAGCACCACAAACCATCCCCTCTGCGCAGGCTGTAACAGAGACGCCTGGGCTCCCCATCTTCCAGGGATGGGTCTGTTTATCCAGATCACATTGCAGTTTGCAATGGCCCTCAGTGCCTCACCTGCATGAAATCCCCTAGCGCACAGCCCTGAATCGTGCACACTTTCACCTAGGGTCACTGGACTGCCAGGCCCCATTGAAGTGCACCTGCGGCTCTGCAGCTGCCAGGATGCTCCAGTCACGGACATTTTGCAGAATTAGATACGTTGCCATTAGCCTCGCTGGGAGCTGCAAACCCGTGAGGAAAGAGAGAAGTCAGTATCCTTGAACTCACATTTTCTGTTTCTGCCTCCTTTCCTTGTTGGTTAGCAGACAATCGTAGAAAAGCAGAGCTGGAAGGGAGCTCCAGAGGTCACATCTAGTCCAACCCGTGCCTGAGACAGGTTCATTCCTATCCAAACCATCCTATCCAAATTCATAATCTAACCTCTTAGTAAAACTACTATTAAACCTGACACAACACAAGATATACCCCCCAAAACTGCCATAGGTAATGCAGGGGGACGATGGCAGCCAGTCCTGCTACTGTGAAGGTTGTTAATATATGCTCAAGAGATCCCAGGTAGAGGCCATGCCCCCTGCTAGAAAGAAAGACAAAACCACCCCTAGTCTGTACCAATGTGACCATGAAGTAATATTCCTTCCTGACCTTAAATATGGCAGATGGCCATGACCCTCTAGCCAGGAACCTCTGGGTTTAAGTCCCAGCAGGAGCTCTTTGGGTCCTCCCCAACCCCTTCTTTGGTCCCCCTGGATAGTTTTGACCTCACATCATTCCCTGGTGCAATCTCCTCTGGTTTGGAGGGCACATCTGCAAAGCAGTTGTTGCCAGGATTGCCTTGCAGTGTAGACGCACCTGAGCTATCCTGAAGCCAGGAGCAGTCCTGCTGTGGCAGCCCAGAACTCAACACGGGCTGCAAAACCTACCCGAGGAACTGAGTGAATACTCAGGCATTTGGGTCATGGGTCATCTGCACCGCTAGCAGCACCTGAGCAAGCTAGTGTGGCACCTACATGACACACTGGCTCTGAACACAATGGCCATGTCTGGACAAGCACGACTATGTGGTACGTGGGGCCACAAACACGTCTGCAGTGCCACATACCGTGCATTCGGATGTTCTCTGTGCTACAAGGAAGCACTGCCTATGTGTGCACTGCTCTGCTTGTTTGTTTCTGAGGGGTATTTTGACCTCTGGATATCCATGGGAAAAAAAAAAGTGAAGTAGCACATGCACAGGCAGTACACACCGCTAAAAAATGGAGCTGGGCCACCCAGAGCCACATTGCAGCTGCTGGCCAAGCTCTGCATGGCAGAATTGCCACTGCTGCAGCCCCACAACCCCAGGTAAGGCTGCTGGGACCAGCCCAGTGGTGGCCCAGCCTCCTCTACCCCACTGGGGGTAATTTGCCATGCACCAAACCACATGCGGCATGGGCATTCCCCGGGAACAAGTAGCAGCGGCACAAGGTATGCCACTGCTACTTGTCCCCAGGGAACCAAAAATCTACGCACACATGGATGTGGCCAATGAAGCCAAATCAACAGGCACAAGGCCTGCTGAGGGTTACCGATGAGACTCAGCTTGGGGGAGCTCTTTTGCGGTATCCAACCCTGAGCTACTGTACAAGGATTTGACTGTTTCTCAGGTGTCACAAGTTGCACCCCCAGAAGACTGAGCCACCCCAGATGACTAGTCACCTCTGAAGATCTTGCTCGTCGCAATGGAGAGAGAGTATTATCAGCCTGCAGAGCTGGCAGGGTCTGGCTGGCTTCCCAGGTGCCCGTGGTAGCTGGCACGGCCACTCAGAGACAGCCTGCTCGCAAGAATTAAACAAACGGCAGCGAGTGGGAAAACACAACTGTGCTGAATCAGGATTTCGGAGCATTCATTTACCGACCGAGCTCCTTTGATATCGAGAAGAGAGCGCTGGGGACAGCAGGAAAAGTGGGGCAGTGGGTCTTGGGGTGGCCTATCTGGAATAAATATGTGGAGGAGTAAAGGCAATTAGCCCATTCAGTGCTGGGGACTGGACAACCTACCTTCACCTAAGGGCTGTATAAGCACATAAGCCCTGACTGTCTGGGTCTCGGGTGACCCCTAGCAGTGCATGCATGCTGCCTTGGCTTCTGACTGGTTATGTGACTTCTCTCTTGGTCCTTCCCAAGGCAATGTCTCCCCCTGGGGAGAGCTTCTGTCCATAAGGAAGGCAGGGCAAGTAGTGAGGCACACTTACTGCTGGGACTGCTTCTCGGCCAGCTCCTTGGTTTTCTCCTACGGTCAAAAATAAAAAAAAGCAAATAAACAACAAGCCCCCAAGAATATGAGAACATCAGCAGGGGGTGGATGAGATGGGACTCTGCGGGTATCTGCCAGGCCTCTCCAGGCTGCGCTGTCTGCGCTGGGCTTCGCTGGCACGAAAAACTTTAACTACAGCAGGGCTTTTTTCCTTCTGCCTCATGCCAAAAGTTAGCCTGAAAGTGACTGTGGCAGGCTTGCTCCAGGCCCAGCCTCTAGCCACAGCCGCTGTCCTGTAGACCCAGAACAAAAAAGGACAGGAAAAAATGCCATCGCACTGGGCCGCCTGGAGTTGCTAAGATCGCGAGACTTTACACTGCCGGGAAAGGAAGAGCGAGAGTGAGACCAAAGCTATGCAGTCCCCTAGAAGGTAAGTATCCAGGCATCCTTATGGCTCATTATGCAGGTCGTGTGTCAGAGTAAGGCCTCTTCAGGGCCCCCTGCATACAAGGCTGTTCCCTTCCAAGTGATGGTTCCTGCTGTGAATATCTCCTGAAGAGCATTAAGGGTTTATCTACTTAAGGTTTCCCATTGCTGGGAAAGTGGGTGCAGCTGCACCCGGGCTGTTAGCAGTGGCGTGGAGCTGTTCCAACTACCTGGAGTACTTGAAATACCAGCCTCTCTGTACCACTTCTCCCTGAGTGACCTGGGGTGGGACACTCCCCTGGGGAAATAAGTCTGGTGCTGACCAGACCCAAATGGCCCTATGCACTGGGGAGCAAAGTACTCAGCATGGGGAGAAGCACACAAACCCCACAGGCAGCTCTGCTCGGGCAACCGGCACCCCACCCAGGGCTCCTGGCAGGCACAGAGGGGAGAGCTGGCATCCCTGCCCAGTGCCATGCATCTGGCTGGAGCAGGGACCTCTCTCACATGACAGCACCAGTCCCAGGCATCAGTCCCTACTCCCAAGGCCCCTGGGCAGTCTGCAGAGGAGGAGCTGTGCTGCACAGGACTCTGCCTACCCCTACAGTGAGAACCAGCCTGGCAGGGGAAGAACATCAATCATTCACATACGCCACTGCATACCAAACTGCTATATTTCCTTGCATAAAACACCCCCATTTTTTTCTCTCAAAAACCAGCTGCTGGAAACCAGAGTGGGCATTATATGCATGGAAATACAGTCAGAGGAGTTGCTGCTGTTTGCTGTACAGAAGGGAAAGTAAAGTCTGCACAGGATCCACAGGGAGCTGAGCAGCGAGCAGGCTCAGCTCCCCAGTTGCTGCTACTCAGTTACTTACTACAAGGGAGGAGTTTTCTCTCGTTGTCCTGCCTTTCAAAAACAAGGCACATCTTATATTCCAGGGTGTGTTGTGTGCAAGGAAATATGGTTATACCTCTAGCTGCCCCACTGCTGGCAGGATCTTTTGCAGCTCTTGCTGGGAGCATCTGGGGGGAAAGCACGGGCTCCTCCAGCAGGAAGACAGCTCAGAGCCTATTAGTTTATGAGCTACAGGCCCAGCTCATGGGCCAGGAGAGCATAGCTTAAGGCTGCCTCCATCGCTAATCCAGAGGCAGGGCCTGGGTGAACATCCCAGTCATGTGGCTCAGGCAGGAGCTGGCTGGGATGGGGCTGATTTTCACTATTTTATGGGAACCTGGAGAGCTGCCAGCCAACATTTAGGTGCCTCGCCTGCAGCCACGGGCTCAGGGGAGGTGTTACCTGCCCGCCCCGCGCCCCAACTCCCCTCGAACAGCTCCCGGACTGACCCACACCGTCCTCTGAATCATCTTGGCCGCCTTGAGCAGCAGCTGCCCAAAATCACCCGGCTCGAAGGCAGCGGCTGAGTGCTGGACGCAGAGGCACAGCAGGAAAGCGGGGGTCAGCTTGTGGTCGTCACCCCCGGGCTCGATCAGGGTCAGGATCCTCCTCAGAAGAACGTCCTCCACAGCCCGCTCAAACTCCAGCTGCAGCTTCTGCTTGGCAGCCCTCTGGCCGGTGGCAGGAGATGGCCCACGCCTCTTGGAGGACGAGCCCCTCTCCTTCAAGAGGCTGCCGCACAGTTTGCAGGTGGAGGGCAGCTCGGGGTCCGTGGCGCGGTGCAGGGATTTCAGCCGCATGAGGCTCTGGGCGGGCAGTGGCTGGGCCTTCACGGGGTCCTTGTAGAGAAGCAGGTAGTACAGCCCCAAGGACAGGAGGTCCCCGTGGTGCAGCACGATTGTCCTCGACACCTCCGAGAAGTTGACGGCCACGCTGGCACCCAGGATGGGCTCCAGCAGCAGCTTGTCCTCCGCGCGGTGCCGGGTGCGGCTGGAGGGTTTGAGGCGCCGGATGGTGCAGTGAAGGGGCAGGATGTCCGGGGCGGAGAGGCTGATGCTGGGTTTGCTGGCCTGAGTCCTCTGGCCCACGGTGTGCTGCTCACGGTTTAGCAGGTACACCAAGCTGTCCTGCAACGCAAGGGAGAGCAGCGTGGAACAGGGAGGCCTGACACAGGGCAGCCGCCTTGGGGGCAGAAGCTGTGAGAACGCGCTTCTCTTCCCCCACCTCCAGTCCCGTGCCCTGGTCTCTAGCCTCGGTGCCACCTCAGTGCAGCAGCCTCCTGCAGGTCTGCAGGTGCCCACGGGAATCACCTTTGCATTGCAGCACTGCTCGTTATTCCAGGCACTGCAGCGCTTCCCCCAAACTATAGCCCCAGCGAGTGTGGCAGTGAGTCATGCACCAGAGCGGCCTTGCCACATGGAGAGGGGGGAAAGGAGCAATTAGCAGCCCGTGGCTCAAATTACACTGCAATTACTTTGCAACTCTATTGTGACTAACACATCCATACGTGCGCCTGCTAACGTGCTCAGTGCCGTTACACAAGTAACTTAGCAACTTGCATTCGTCCCATTTAACTCTAGCGGTTCCTTGGGAGGGGAACTGGCGAGTGACTCCATATGAGCGTTACTGACTGTCGGCCAAGATTTGCAGTGGCTTGCAGATACAGAGGTGCAGAATGGGGACACTGCCCACCCCAAGGGGCTCTGCAAGGCAGACAGATGCCAGGAATTACCTGAGACACCCCAAGACTGTGAGAGAGTCAGGAGTTTGCAGGCACTCAGGGCCATTCATAGGAACAGGGGACTAGCAGGGGCCTCTTGGGCCACTGAGCCTGGCCCCCTGCAATCACAATTGTCACCCCAAGGAATCCCCATAATCACCATGACAAACCCTTGCTCACAGCCACAAGACAAACCCCCCAAACCACATGCACCCTACAATATGCCGCAGGTCCCAGCAGGGTGACGAGGGCAGCACCTGACAGACGTGGCAACAACTCTTCAGGAGAAAGGTGGCTTGTCCCTACCCCAGATGGCTCCCAAGCTCTGGCTGGGGGCAGTCTCACACTACCTGAATGAGTTCACATGCAGCAAGACCTTCCACTCCTAGTGAATCCTCCACCAGAGCAGCAGTACTATGCAGGCTGGCACAGTGCCCCTGGCAGTGGTACCCCCCAAAGTCATCATCAGGGGATCCATCCTCTCCCAGTGGTGTTACTTGTCCTTTCTGGCCTCCCTTCCTAGTTCAGATGTGGCCTTATTACTTCATTCTTTCCACGACACGTGGAGCCTGATTTCAAGGCAAGGCAGCCCTGGGGAGTCCTGCTCAGGGAAGCACAGTGGGCCTAATTCTGTCTCAGCTGCATGCTGCAATATGGTGAGCGAGGACAGTTGGGCCCGTTCCCTCTCACACTGCAAACCAGCCCCCCAAGGCCATGTTCCTGACTCCTCCTGGGCCTCAGCATTCTCATCTGTGAAATGGGAATGATAACTGTTATCAGCACAGGCTGTGGCCTACCACACAGCAGCTGATGCCAAGGCAAGGCCTCCTGGTTGCATGCTGCCAGAAAGCAGAGCCAGGAATCGTAGCACACCCCAGTGTTTAACCTTGGCCAGCTCAGCAGGGAAGCCAGCAGACACCTCAGTCCTGCTTGCTGGCCAGGTGTAGGAAGAGGGATTGGCTCAAGATTCCCAGTGCCTGCTCCACCTTTACCATGTGCCTGGATACAAACAGCATCTGGCTGTCCCAAGCAGCTGAACCCTAGGTCTGTCCCTGCATCCCTAAGGCGCAGCTTTTCTGCGGCTAAGGAGAGAGTCCTTGCAAACAGAGCCCTTGAAGCACAGCCATGACATTGGTCTTCTGCTGCAACGTGGGGAAAACCTCTCTCTCCCTTTAAACCCGATGCAAGGACTGTTCAGAAGAGACCAAGAGGCCCTGGGGGTTGCTACCAGTACCTAGTGTCCACCAGGTTTCCCCCTACATTTTCCTCCCATGGCAGCCCATCCTCCAGGCACAAGCCTGGGCTGCAGGAGAGGGGCAAGCATGATGCAATCCAGCATCCAAGTATCCAAGCTCCAACACTACCTGATGGCCCTAAAGAGCAGGGAGAGCATGATGACCTGGGGGAGGGGGCAGGGTGCAAAGCCTGCCGGGGCAAAGGGAAGGAAGGTGGAGTGCTTACGTGCTGCTGGCTGTAGCCCTGCAGAAGGAGGAGGTGAGGAGACTGGTAGAGGGAGTACCGCATGCTGCCCCCGGTCCGCTCCTCCGTTGGGGCTGGGGCCGGGGACTCGCCCGGCGAGGTCTCCAGGCCCCGCATGTTCTCCGGCAAGGTGGAGTAATGTTTCTTGAGCTCCTCCTCCTGCGAACCCGGCTGGCTTAGGCTGGTCTCGCTCACACTGCGCCGCAGGGAGGGCGGCGTGGCATGGCGCTGGTACCCCGTCAGCAGGGTCATGGTGCCCTTCGCCCGGTTCCTCTGCAGCTTCCGAGCTTGAGCATTGATGCCTGAGAATGAGAGCTGTGGTTAGTGCCATCTGATCACACAACAATCCTGCTGCCCCTGCCCCTGCCCCTGCCCCACTCCCACCCGGGGAACCACAACAGCTAGGGTCAGCCAGTGTCCGATCCCCCTGGGCCAGCCATGCCCCCAGCTGGCACAAAAGGACATTGCCTCCCCCGGACACAGTCCCATTCGCCACCCTCACTCTGTCCAGCATGACTCAGATGCCATTTTATCTCTTGATGCTTCTCGATCACTGCCCACGCTCCAGAGACAGGACTGGGGGAGTGTGACAGCTCAGTGAAGCCAACCCCCACCCCACTTTGCCCTTCCCCAATACCAGATTATAGTACTGAACAGCTGCTGCCCAGCACCTACCTTCTCCCCCTCCAAAATGTCCCCAGCCCAGGATGCCCCAAGACTGACAATCCTGAGGTCACCTAGGCCCTGGATCCCCAACTGGACTGTCCCATTCCCTCCCACAGCCCTTCAGCGTGTTTCATCCCAGTACAAATATGTCCAATTTGTGAGCAGGAGCATCTGACAGAAGGACCCGTTGTTGCTGCCTGCCCAGAGGTGCAAGCTCCAGCATCTCCTCTCAGTTTTGGCCAGCCAAGGCCTGGTGAAATGCAGCTTAAAGACCCCAGAAACTCACCAGAGAGTCTGAGGACCAGGAGGAGAAAGTAATAATTCCCCCACAAAGCAAAAGACACCCCCTTCCCACAACTCCACGCTCCTTCCTGAGCGTGGCAGCTGGGGCACAGAAACTGCAGCCACCCAAGACCTGGATGTGAGCTCTTAGAAGCAAAGATGATCACGGTTCATGCCACACTCGCCCTGTTAAATGAAGAGGAGTAACTGCCCGTCCCCCACATCTTCCCAACACCAGCTGCAAGTCAGTCTCTCAAGCCCTCCCCACCTGTCCTGAGAGCAGCCAAGATCCACCTCCGGTCTGCAGCATCCTTCCCCCGCCGGCCTGAGCTCTACCGCATAGATAATCTGCTTCTCAAAAATCAGCGCAGGCCAGAATGCAAAGCTACGACATCTGGCTTCAGTCCTTGCTGTCCCGCCAGCTATCAGGGTGCTCCGGGGGTCCCATGCCCTTGCCAGACACGAACGGCACCTGCCCGTGTGTGAGGTCCAATTGCTGCCTGCCAGGAGCTGCAGACTGCAGTGTGGAGCCTGCCTGCTGCAGAGCCGATCTGTAATTAACTTCTCACAAGCGTCAGTTCGGGAGAGCTGTCAGGAAGACTAATGGGGTCCAGAGCGGGAGTATAAATAGGATGGAAGAGGCACAGAGAAAACCCAACTGCATCCTCTCGGCCCCACTGCTGCAGAAATGACCCAGCCTGCTAGAGCCCTTTCCTAGGCTGCAAGCATCCCTGATTGGGTGCAAGTTGTGGGAAAGGAAAAACAGCAGTCAGTGTGAACGCTGTTCTGCAAACCTCCTACCTTTCATTAACAGTCCTCGGCGGGCCGGCAGGCCGCTAGCACGGCCATTTGACGGTGAACATGGGGGCTGGAGTTGCAAAAAGAGTCTAGAAAATTCTGTTGCAAGGAGAATGCTGCTTTCCAAGCCGCTGGAGAGCAGCCGAGACAAAAGAGCAAGGACCCCTGTTCTTCCAGACCTACTCTGCGGTTTCCCCCGGACGGGTAGATCAGAGATGCAGAAGCCCAGGGTGCAGAGGAAGGCACCAAAAGAAATGCCTCTGCTGGAAAGAGAGCGGTGCTCTGCACTGGAGAGGCAAGCCCAGCCTCAGGCTGCTTAAAGGGACACTATCAAATTCAACCCCCCCAGGGCAGGCTGCCTTATTTGGTGAGGAGCAGGCGCTGGGTTCTGAAATACATTTTTTTGTTTGTTTGCTTTAAATCCCTCGCTCCTTCATTGGGAAAAATGAAAGGGATGAAGGGATACAAAATAAACCCTACTGTTTACATGCCTCGGGATTAGAGCAAGGGGTGGCTGAATAGCCTGGAGAGTTCTCGAACGCAGCCCGCGGCCATTTCACAGCAAGACAGAGTGGAGCAGGTTGGGATGTGACCGTGCTGCCTGTCTAAAGAGGAGAGCAGCTGTGATCCGCGGCTCGTGACGCCCACCCCTGGGTCCCACGAAAACGGCCAAAGCGCAGATGCCTTTGCCTCCGGTCTGTCCTGCTTTGGGGAAATTGCTGGAGAGACGTTTCTCAGAAACTCTGGTCTTAGAAGTTTGCTGACACCCCCTGGGACACCTACCCGGAAAAGGAAGGAGATTGGAAAGGCCGCGTGAACCTCAACGTGTACTGGACAGGCAGTACCAGGTTTCACACTGACAGCTAAGGAAAAGATGCGCTATTCCAGTTTCTCAGGGTGAAACTTCCATCCCTATGTGGCACGGTTAGGTCTTTTATTCTGTATGGGTTGCATGCCCTTGAGGGCTAACTTCTCAAACGTGTGAACATGTCCAGCAGCAGGCAGGAAGAGCACACACCTGCTGCCAGGAGGACAGCCCGACTGATCCGCATGGTGCATTCGTGATTTGTCTTTCCACGGTGTCAGCTCTCGGAGGAGCCTTTACTAGCATCTGGGATGTCTCTGAGGAGCAGGCATGGTCTCCGTTGTAGGCAGGGTGAGCTGAGGCTCAGAGAAGCGAATGGCGAGCCTGACCTCGAACCCACAGCTCCTCATCCCAAGCCGCCCCCCCGCCAGGCCTTGCTCCCTCCAGAGATGGAGACATGCAAAAAAATCAGGAGCATTTGGCAGCGCCTCCCTGGCGCGCGACAGCAGAGTTATGGCTCAAGAGCAGGTCTCCTCCCCTTGTGAATGGAAAGCTCCTTGCCTCCTGCGGGCCATGATGAAGGCCTCCTAGCCAGCCATATGAAGGGAACGTTGCATTTCTGGAGGCGATTGCCCCTAGGTCCTTTCCCTGCACAGCCTTGGCCCGACCGGAGAGAGCGCCAGCGTATAAATCAGACTGCAGCAGCCACAGGAGAACAGCATCCTCCTGAACCCTGCGCTCCTGCCTGGGGCCCTGCCACTACTCTGGCATGGGAATGGTGCTCTCCTTCCTTGCCCAGCCCTGCTCATGCTCAGCAATTTCTACCTGGCTCTTCCACCCGGCACTTGGCATCCAGGCCTCTGTCCGGCTTTCCCAGGAATCGATAGGAGCTGGGCTGGGCTGCAAAAACCCTGCTGCTTTGCTCTCGTGGGATCAGGCTTTGGAGAAGGGTGGTGGGGAGGCTGAGCGCCCCGTGGCCTCAACATCTCTCCCCGCACCAGACAAATGAACATTCAGGTTTTTCTTATCTAGCAGGGAGGAAGCTTCTGTGTTTACTCTGTGCAGCAAAATCCAGGAGGAAAAAGCTGCTTTTTACTCCTGATACAGCCCCGGTCACAGGCTCTGTTCGAACTCCTGAGCCGCACTGGAAAGATAAACACAGCTCTCTTCCTGAACGTAACAAAGTCCTTCTATAACTGGGTTGTTTTTTTAATCCTTCTGGTACCATTCCCCCCCACTTCCCCGCCCCCTGCCCATATCCACCCCTAAAACATCTGAGACCTAACCAGTCCAAAGCGCTGGTATGACAAGCATCTCACAGGCACCAAGCCCACGGGAATCACTGGCAGTTCTCCTTTCTGTATTACATGGAAACAGAGATTTTAAGCAGGAAGGGAGGATTCATAAGAGGCACAGATATCCAACACCTTACCGAGAGCTTTTGGCTAGTAAAAGTAATTGTGACCTGGAAAAACCACCATACCGATAACCCAGATCCAGACCTTTCCTCTTTCTGGGGACCAGGCAAACCCCCGGCCTGAACAACACTCAGGATTTCATAGCAAGTCCCGAGGCAGCTGAAGTTGCACTAACCAAGATGATTTCCTGGAAAGCTCTGCTTCCATTTTTTAAAAAGAGTGAGTTTCTAGAGCCACAGGCTTGAGAGGGTCCTCAAAGGCCACCGGCTCCAAACCGCTGGATACAGAGACACGGGGCTGTCTGCTCCTAACCTGTCCTTGGCCCACTCAGCCTCTTCTTGAAAACCTCCAGTGAAGATGACCCCATGATCCCCTTAGCAGCTTGCACCGTCACTCTCAGGAAAAGCTAGAAGATGTGACCCAAGTGACACTCAAGGCTCAGAAACCAGAAGATAAAGAACATGATGTTTCTCTGCATTTTGGTTTTTGCAGGGGGGAGGCTATATATATATATACACACATATATTTTAATCTCAGTGTTATGCAACTTGACTTCTGTTCTTGAAGGCTCAGGATTAGCCCCTTCCCTCCCACGACCCCCCCAGGGAGGCATTGGGTCCTTCTCCCCTTTTGCAGATCCGGAGACAGGGGGAAGAGGGCGCTTGATTCAAATGGCTCCTCTTTGACCCATTTGCCCAGTAGCCAGAACACCGAGCAGCCTGCAGCCCCAATAACAGATCCAACCATAGACGGAAGGAGCCCTGCGCACCTCCCTTCTCAGCACAGCACGCCCATTCATTTATTGCCAGCCGGCTGTTAAACGGCCACGGCCAACAAGGGTTTGTTTGTAGGGACTTGCCTTGGGCCCAGTGTTGTAAATGGGGAAGATGGTTCCACCTCTGATCAAGGCTGGAAAGGGATGCCTGTCCTGTGCTGGGCTTCCCAGCCATTGTTAGGAAGCTGCAAGGCAGCAGCTTCTGGTATTTTATAGTCTCCTGACCAGGCACGGAAAGGCAAGACCATTTCATTTGGAGCCCAGTTGAACTCTGTGCCTCGGCCACCCTGAGCTGAATGAGGCGTCACTCTGCCCTGTCAGTCAACCCAGAAACTTGGCCTAGTGCCCACTTATTCTGCCAGCCCCAGCGGCACTGCCTGACACCTGAGCTCCCACATGTAGAGTGGCTACCTACCAGTTTCCAGACTGGTCTGAAATGGCCTGGGGCCAACCTGCCTTAGGTCCCCGGAAGGTGTTACCCTTCACATGTGATTAACTTGTTAAGCATACCATAAAAAGTAACCTGGCCACACAGTCAGGCAATTGATGGCATGACAA